GTTGCCACTGCGCTTTACTAAGTATGAGAGCTTTGAGGGGGATGTCCGTCTCTTCATATGCTCTATATTTCACGTTACAGTAACTTTCTATTCGTCACAACTAGACATGTTTCATGTTTGTTACATGAAGGGGAAAACCAACAACTTGCTCAACCTCTTCCAATATAAAGTATAAACCTATAACTCATGTAACCTCTTATAAAGTATAAAACCTAGGCCCGAATCGTGAGGGTGGCCAACATGGACAGCCCAGGGCCCAAATATAGTTTGGGGCCCCAATTTCGTTTTATTTTATGTAGATATATATGAAATACATGCTTTAAAAGTAATCGGTAGTGCAGCTAAGTTGGTAAAGATTTCAATCAAAGGTATCCGTGTTCGATTCTTCCTAATTCCTATGTTCTCTTTTTAATATTATCTCTATTCAATCTAAAATGGGTGATAGCACAGTTGATTTACAAGCACTTTTTAGTTTTTGATGGATCCGTGTTCTAACCCTGTAGCTTGTGAAGTACATCATCTAAAAATTCATGAACTCTCTCAATAAATCCCATTTAAAACAAATCTGTAATAAATTAACAATGATATTAATATTTATTAAAATTTTTTGCAATATTTTATTTAAGTTTAATTCATATATTTTTTAAGGACCCATTTTCTATTTTAGCCACTGACCCAAAATATATTTGAAACGAGCTTCAGAAAACTAACAACTCATGTAACCTCTTCCACAACAACTACAAAACACTAACCACATTTGCTCCACTATAAACCCTTTTCTGAAATCGTCTCTTGCACTTCGTTTTCAACTACAAATTATATTTGATTTATTTGACACAATCAAATAACAACATTTTGTCACTTTTGCATTGTTTACTTCTTTAATTTGTTTAAAACGATGATCACTTATAATAAAAAAAACGGTTTGAAAAAAAATATATATATTTGATTTATTTGACACAATCAAATCCTCTCACTTTTGCATTGTTTACTTCTTTAATTTGTTTAAAACGATGATCACTTATAATAAAAAAAACGGTTTAAAAAAAAATATTTGATTTATTTGACACAATCAAATCCTCTCACAATCACACACACACATACATACAATACATACATGTTCAAGGATTCTTCATTTTAATCCTCAATTTCCTAGCAATTTGTGTAGCTTTTGGATGCACAGGTCTCTTACTACAATCACACTGTTCAACTTCAACCCAATTTATCACCTTCAAAATAAGCGATTGCGAGACTTTCTTAGCATCCGATTTCTTCATTCCTTTTTCCAACGCTTTCTCCAAAAACTCCATAAACCAATTCCCAGCCTCCGTTTCAATCTGCATCCCCAATTTAATCGTATTACTCAAGCTACAACACGAAGACGAAGAAGATCCAGGGTTCTTGTTTTCATCGTTCTCCAACACTTTCGTTTTCTGATTTGGTGTTTTCAATTGCTTCGGCTTTTGATCGGATCTTTCGGAAAATGCTGCGATTGATTTGTGTAAGGCAGCTCGTCGTTTTGAAGCGTTGTTTGTATCCGAATTGTTGTTGTTCATGATATCGTGTAAAACAGGTGTGTCTTCTGATGTGATTTGTGTTGTTGCTGCTTTGATTGATGTCATTTCGGCGATGGCTTGAACGATTTGAGTGTGGAAATCGAGAAATCGATCGAAACAATCGGATGGGTTTTCGGGTTTTGATGATTTAGTTAAATTCGATAGATTCCTACAAGTTGTGTACATGATTGTTAGTATAAAACGAGAGGAATGTTAAAAAGATGTAAAAAAGAAGTTTTTATCTTATACTTGAGAGATCGAACGAGGGTTTCAGTTGCAGATGCTTCTCTAAGTGCTTGAAGGGCAATCTTTTGAGCTGTTTCTCGTTGCTGAATGGCTTCCTGGAGTGATAATTGTTTATAAATAACAGAAAAGTTAAGATGAAAATTTAATCTTGAAGATGATGTTTTTACAAAGTAGACAAAAGAGTTTGAATTTCTTGAAGGAGGCATTGTTTATAAAGTCAGAAAATACAACAAATTTCATATGAGGTTTACAGAAAATACATGAAATTTCATATGTGGGTTATAAAGTCAAAATGAAGATGACTTTGTTTATATAGTCGGAAAATTCATGAAATTCCACATGGAGTTACAAAAAAAATTGAAATTTTGAAGTTATAAAGTCAAATTGAAGGTGACATTGTTTATATAGTGTTTGAAGTTTCAGGAAAATGCATGAAATTCCACATGCAGTTACAAAAAAAAGTATACTGTCTTCGAAGTTTCGTATAGTGTTTATAAAGTGAAATTGAAAGTGACATTGTTTATATAGTCGGAAAATTGATGAAATTCCACATACAGTTACAAAAAAGTTGAAAATTTGGAAGTATTTACACTGTCTACAAAAAAAAAAAAGTTGAATGTCCTGTTTCTAAAGGCAGAAAATCACGTTGAGTTTAAAATATAAATTGAAAATTACGTAATATTTATACGACTTTACCTTCAAAAAAGTTGAATCATCAAGGTGACGTTGTTTATAAAGAGAGACAATTCAAGAAATCCCACGTGGGGTCACAAAAAATAAAAATAACTCAAGAAATATATTTTTTTTATTTTGAAGTAATGATTCTATTTCACAACTTAAAAAAATGTTTAATCTTGAAGTTGACATTAGAAATCCACTTTAGGTTACAGAAAACTAAAAACTTTTAAAATATTGATATTATTTCACAACTTAAAAAAATGTTTAACCTTGAAATTAAAAAATAGGAAATTTTATACCTTTCCCAGAAGTCCAAGCTTTCCTGGTATATTAAGCGATAAACTTGTGTCTGAATCACCATATGGAGAGTCTTGTTGTTGTGAAGCCATTTTTGAATTGGAATAGTTTTTTGTCTCTGAATCAACATTCGAGCCAAGAAATTTTCTTGTGTTCTTTAAACTCGGAGGTGGAGTTGCACTTTTCTTTTCCTGTATTAATAAAATAATAAATATGCAATAATAAACTCAATTTAAATTTTTTTTAGTGCCCATTTTATATTCGAACTTCGTGTATATAATCAAGACACCATGATCGGTAATCGAGTTTGAAGTGATTAACATGTCTATTTTATAAAATGTCTTGATAACATGGTTAAACTATGCTCATGTAAAATTACTGTTTTGCCCTTCATTTTAAAATAATTGAATATAAAAAATAAATTGTATAAAGGCATGCTCATTGAAAGAATATTTGTGCAAAGTGCAAATTTGGTCTCTTTGGTTATATTCTATCATCATCGGATTCATAAAAGAGTTTTGAAATGATTTAAATAAACTCCTAGAAGAATCTTTTCCTAGAAATTGTCTTTCTTCCTGGTTAAATACATGCAAAATGATCATTCTGCCTTCATTTGAATATGTAAAATACTAAAGATAAACTACATATAGACAAAAAAAAAATATTCAAATTTGGTCTCTATGATATTACACAAGGGTAAAAACATTTTTTTAGAAAAAAGATTTTGTCTATGAAGTGAAACGTTGATTAAAAAGAAAAAGATTTTGTGTATTAAATTAAATTAATATATCAAAGAGAGAGATGTACCTACAGCTGTATTATTAAAAGGACTTCTTATAATTTTTGCATCTCTATCACAAACTGTACTCTTGCTTCTCGTATACTTCATCATAGAAGCATTAACCACACAGCTTTTTCTCATCGCAGGACTTTCCATCATCTTCGACAACAATGGCCCACCTACAGAAGCTCTAACATTTCCATTAAAGCTCCCATCTTTCTCACCTCCTTTCCCTCTAATCGATGGCGACATAGGAAAATTAACCCTAATTGCAGACCTCGGTTTTACAGGTGTACATTGATCAAAATCAAGAGGACATGGTTTCAAAACCATCGGTGATGCACAAACCCCATCTTCCCCTTTTTGTCCTGTTCCCCAAGAACCTCTTCTTGGAACACAAGATTTAGTATTCGAATTGAAATTAACCCCTTTTTGCTCACTCTTTTCCCCTTTCTCTCTTAAACCCATAAGTGGTTCAGGCGTTCCAATAAAAGGGTGGCGTCCTGGAAGCGGTTTAGCACCTTTGGCTATGGGGACAGGTGAACCGGGTTCTAAACTTTCGACATAGATGAACTGGCCGAGCTGCATTTTGTTGCTGAGAACAAGATCGTCTTGATCGAAAGGTAAACTTACATAAATCGAGTGGGAAGAATCTGATACTTTAATGTAGAACCCATGTTTTGGCCATAGATCTTTCTCATCAAGATCGGCTGGAACGATATCGGTTACCTGTAGAAGTGAACTGCGATATTCACTTGTGGGTTTTACCCCGGAATTCATCCCGTTCAGAAGCTTCAACAAGATCCCTGGTGCTAATGCTGCCATAATCAACAAAATTGATCGCGAGAATTTGGGAATTCGGGAGAAACGCAAGGGTGGAAAATCAGAGATTTTGTGCTGGTGATCATACACGATTGAAATTGGATTCGTCTTCAGTTTTCAATTTTTGGGAAAATGGAAACTGAAGACAAAATTGAGAAAGAATGAATGAATCGATTAGGGTTTTGAGTGAGAAGAATCTGGTGGGAAGGATGATTTAGGGATGTTTTGGGGTTTAAGAGCGAAGATGAAACGAACGTGGAGTGGGGTTACGATGATAACGGTAACTAAGAGGTGAGAAAGGGGATGAATTTTTAAAAGATAGCGTTTTGGAACGTTGGAGATAGGATGCTAACGGTCATATTTTTCGCTTGCGGCAGCAGTCAATTGATCACGTATTATTTAATGATTCATGGGAAATTTATTATGAAGAATGATATTAAAGCTCTTAACATTAGAAATATTTAGATTTTTTAATTTGGGATTTTTTAATATGTGTTCTAAAGATATAAGAAGTATTGATTATCATAATTAAATTCAAAATATATTTATTATGGAAATTATTAATGTATTTCATATTTAATTATGATAATATTCATTATAATTAATATATTTAAATTTAATTATGGTAATATTTGTCATTAAGGGGATGTTTGTTTTTTGTATGAAGATCCGCGCAATCACTTTTGTCTGCGCCGCGCAGACATATGCCCTTCCAGATTTTTTGTTTTTTGAAAGTGCGCAGATCAGAAAATGTCTGCGCGAGATCTTCCTGGCGCAGACATGGATCACTGTCTTCAAAGGTCTTCAGATCTCATTTTAATCTAAACAAAAAAAAAAAAAAAAAAAAAAAAAAAACATGGGTCACGGTGCAGTTTTTTTTTTCTTTCTTTTTTTTGTTAAAAATGCATTTGTTTATGACATGAAATTAAGTTTAAAATTTAATTTATTTTAACAGCCTGCAGACGTTAAAAACAAACAGTTTTCTTTTTGTAGACTGCAGACATTTGGTCCACCTCTTCTGCCGCAGAGACTTGCAGATGTGTCCTTAGGGCACATATTAGAAAATCTCATATATATATATATATATATATATATATATATATATATATATATATATATATATATATATATATATATATATATATATATATTATTTTTTAGATTTTTTTTTGAAAATAAATTATTTTGTAGATTTTTAGGTTCATTAAATTGAATGTCAGCAACTTATTTTTTTTATTTTATTGATTTTACAGATTTAAGCGGTAAAACGAAAATTTTATGTTAAATTTAAGGGATTTAATAAACCAAAAAATCAAACTTAAAGCGTTAATGAAGCAGAAAAAATGATAAAAACTTTTTTCCCAAACGAGTTTTAGGGAATTAGAAATACATTAAAAAAAATAATAAAAAAATAAATAAAATAAATAAAAAAAAAATTGCAAAGACTGACATTTTAGATTTCTCAACAAAAAAAAATATTAATATATATATATATATATATATATATATATATATATATATATATATATATATATATATATATATATATATATATATATTAAAGAAATTTGCTTAACAACAATAGTAATGTTAAAACAATATTATTATATATATTAAAACAAATTTACTTATAAAATAATAATGTTATGAACTTCAAGCTTTTACCACCATATTTTTATCACTTTCGTTTGTAGCCCCTTAAATGTTTTTAGTTTAAAAGTTTTGACACAGGGGTTTTGAATTTTAGCATACTTAGTCCATTTAATATAGTAATGTACAGAAAACATCTTTGTAAAGCTTTTTATTTATTTATTTATTTTATACAAAAATGAATGTCAGCAACTTATTTTTAATTTTACTGTTTTTATAGATTTAACCGGTAAGACAAAGGTTGTCAAGATCGGGATCCTACCTAGGATCGTTTTTGGGTTTGCAAAATCGAAATCGTAAGATCGGGATCGAGATCCTAAGATCCCACAAAATAGAATATAATTTTAATTTATAATATTAATCATAAAAAATATTTCAAACATTTAATTTTTTGTTCAAAAGTTATAAAAACTTTAAAATATTAGTTATAAGTCACAATAAAAATGATAAATGGTAGATTGGTAAAGGGTAAAAGACATAAAATGGTAAAAAAAATTTCATTTGAAAAAAAAAATTAAAGGAAGGTAGGATCGGATCGGATCTCGATCCTACGATCCTACCTACGATCTTACGATCCTACCTGCGATCCTACCCAAAATACGATCATTTTACCGTAAGACCAAACATTTCTCTTAAATTTAAGGTTTTTAATAAACCAAAAAATCAAACTTAAAGTATTTATGAACCATAGAAAATGATAAAACGGAACATTTTTTTCAAATGAGCTTTAGGTAAGAATACATAAACAAAAGTTGCAAACATAATATTTTAGTAATCTGAAATCCACAAAAACGTAAATCACTACTTTATGTCAAATTTAAGGGTTTTGTGTGCCTTTATATATATATATATATATATATATATATATATATATATATATATATATATATATATATATATATATATATATATATATATATATATATATATATATATATATATATTAAAATTGTGTTAAAAGATAAATAGTGAACTTTTTTTTTTTTTGCAAAAATGACCCTTCAATAATATATATACATATATATATATATATATATATATTATATATATTATATATATATATATATAATATATATATATATATATATATATATTAAAGTTGTGTAACCTTAGTAATAGTGAACTCTGCTACAGTTTGGCAGAAAGGCCCCCTGTTTATGGGTTTCGTTGCAATTTGGGTTTGTTTTTTGTAAGCAGGAATTTTATGAAATTATATACATTCTTTATACACGTGTTGTTCATCTACTGTGGTTTCCATCCCTTTTGGATTCTTTTTCTCGGTATTGCGACTCATCTTTGAAATACGTCTCTTCCACCAATTTTGGTTTGTAATCGAATGCTTACACACTTACTTCCACCGCCTTCAACTGCTTTCATCTACGTCTTCTGTGTTTCATCGTCAGATCCACTGTGGATTGTTTTGGGATTTTAGGGCTTTCAAAGCAAAAGGTTCCAGTAACAACGAATGTTAGGTTACAAGACCGCATACCTGTTTTCGATGCTTCTACAGGTTTGTTGCCAACTCTTATTCATCACTTCCTCAATCACCATATATCGTTGATTTCGGTTCTATTTGACAACCCACCTCCGGTAAGTCGTTCTTTTACTTTTCCTTTTGTGTTTTTCTGTGACACCCATCCCGATCATTAACTTTGACCCATGTCCAGCTGATTTGCTTCTTTATTGTGAATCCCATCTGCAACCGTTGTACTACACAGCATAAACCCTCACCCTTATTGAGTATATTGACTTTTAAGAGACACAATTTGAGTATTTTTAACCCTAATCCTCTATTTTATCTTCTGCAGCTGAAAAGTGATGCATACACGGACAATAACATGGCAGTGACCTCCGATTACAGACCGGTCATGGAGAAATTCATTCTCCCACCGTTGCTAACAACTTCTCCGGTGCAGTTGGCATTCAGACGTGTCACTTTGCTGTCAAAGACATGTAACTTTTCTCTTGATCCTTCTCTCATGGTCGTTGACTTTCAACCTCTCTTATTGTATACAATTGTTTACTGATACGGTGGTTCACTTGTTTACATGATACAATTTAGTGATTTTTGAACTGCAAATCAGATTTGACAAGGATGGATACATGAGTAGATTTGAGAATCCAGATTGGTTGAACACCCATTTTGCTGCAACTTCCACAACTCCTGCTGTTTTGACCCATATGGAGTGTAGGTGCCACGTGTGACAACCCCAAAATTTCATGTTCAATATATATCAATTCTATCAAAGTTAGACTCATTCTACTATCTTGTAGCACTGTTTAGGGTCTATTGGAGTGTTCTAAACGTAATACAATCAAGGTAGGAGCTTAGAAATGGGTTAACTCGATGCATATCAATCAAAACCGGGCCAAACACTCCAACATATGGAGTGTGCGGCCACACACCCATTTCAGCCACACTCCTTCATATAAATAGAACACTTAGCAAATTTTTATCACTTTTCCATTCCTTCAAGGCTAGAACTTGAGATTCTCTCAAAGTACCCTCGACATTTTCATCATGATCTTCATAAAAGTAACTAATTCTTCCTTTTAATAGTTGATACTTGAAATTTTCTAGCCTTATTCCCTATTATGATCCATGAAAAACACATTTTTGGTGTTAGATCTTCAAGAACACCAAGAACACACACTAAGTTTTGGACCATAATCACCCCTTTCAAGCCTCTATAACGTGTATACACTTATGACAACTAGTTATATGCTAAGACCACTTGAAATTATACGTGAAAAACATCATATTGTATGATCTTCAAGTGTGTGCAGCCGCACACACCCTTTTTAAGTCCCAAAATGGCAACAAACTTCATTTAAGTCTAAGGCATGAAGAATGAAACCTTCCTAGATGTCCCTTATAGCTTAAAATCACGTTTTGACACATTCCATAAGGAGTGTGTGGCCGCACACACACATTTGTTGTGCATTTTGACCATACACTCCCTTGTATAGTTATATACCACTCGTATACAATCTTATATGGTTGTAACACTTCATAATAAGTGTTTACTAGTCCCTAAGGTGGTTCCAAATCAATAATTAGTTATTTCATACACTAATTGTATATATATATATATATATATATATATATATATATATATATATATATATATATATATATATATGGTTAATAGGATTCGTTTGTGCTCAAGTCTTCAATTGTCACTCAACTTCCTATATCTATCTTACATTCAACTTATTCACAGACAGCTGAGTTCATACCCCTTAATTTACCTTTGAAATGTTTTTAATTGCTTCATGGGGGGGGGGGGATACAAGTTGAATCGTGTTAGTTATTAGGTCAATCACATATGATTAATAACTAGCATACAAATGGATTTATCATACTTTAAACTATTTTACCAAACAAATGACTTCAAACTATTTATCAAACTATTTTACATGTCAAACTCTTTATCAAATTCAATTTAGTATACTAAACCTTTCTTTTACAGTTTTCAAACTTATATATTGTTAAAACCATGTCTACTACATATATAGTTATATGAATAAGGTTTGAAGGACTTATGAGAGATAACCCACTTTACTTCCTGTCCTTGTTAGGTTGTGGTCTTAAAGTACCCGATTGTTTGTTCGAGTGTCGTTGAATCCTTAGTTATATATTATGTATATATGTATAGATATAAAGATTTTGTCTCAGTTCAGCACATTCATTCATACAAACAAGTCTTCTAATAAACTGTAACGACCCAAATTTCAAGGCCAAAAATTTCATTTTTGAATTAACGCATTTAACAAATATTTTACCAAAACATTATCAATAAAACATCCATTACAAAAATCATAATGTTGTATTTCAAACCATAACGTCTTAAGTATTGAAAATCAGAGTGCAGTCCCAAAAAAACCTCTTGTGGAAACATGTGTGTGTGTGTGTGATGCGCTACTACACTGCCGGCTCTTTCCCCTTCGACGAAAAGGTACCTGAAACCATAACCAAAACTGTAAGCACAATGCTTAGTGATTTCCCCCATCATACCACATACCATACAATATCTTCGGCATATTTCAACCGGTAACCTTCATTGGTATCTTTCAACCGGTAACCTTCAACGGTATCTTTCAACCGGTAACCATCATCGGTGTCTTTCAACCGGTAATCAACATCGATATCTTTCAACCGGTAAATGGGGACTATTTCA